TTAGTTCTATCCAATAAAAACTATCTCTTCATGAAACATGACCTTAGTTCTATCTAATAAAAACTATCTCTTCATGAAACATGACCTTAGTTCTATCTAATAGAATCTATCTCTTCATGAAACATGACCTTAGTTCTATCCAATAAAAGCTATCTCTTCATGAAACATGACCTTAGTCCTATTTGTAATTGCTCTCTTGTGTTTCACACATTCATTACATGAACTAGGCGTTAAAATATGTTCCACCAACACAGTTACAATGAATTAACCAATGTGGGAGACAGTTACTGTGTGTGTATACAAGATAAGCATTTCCACATCAAAAAATGACAAACACATTTTATAAAAAGAAATTGTTCAATTCATTATTTAATATTTTTAGTGAGGGAAGAGTTGAAGTGAAAGGTGGCAGCCCTCTCCACTCGAGAAGAACTTTTTTACCAAGTATTTTGTCATCTTGTGAAAAAATCTAACTTTCTAAAGTATCCTTGTGCATTGGAATTCAGTAATTGTGATCAGTATGTAGTATTTCTATGAAGCTGTTAAACATATGTCAGTATTTAAAATTATAAGCTTCCTAAACATCACATACTGGACAATTTTAAAGAAAATCCCAGAACCTCATAACTTCTTAAACCTGCAAAACAAACTTTGTTAGCAAGTGACCAAACTTTTATCAAGATTCGATGATAGCCAGGAAGTATGAGCAGTTTTAATATTGAGTATTACTTTAAATGTATATTTTAATGTGGACTACCTTGTACTTATTAACACTAAAAAAAACTACCATGTTGACCTAATAATTACTAGAACTAGAACATTTTTTAATACTTAAATTTGTCATAAATCTAAATTTTATACTTTTAGTTTCACCTCAATAACTAAATGACAATATGTTCGAAAGTTGCAATACATTAAAGATGTTCACGTGCATTTCCTAAGTTGGCCTAACCTCAAGAGATATTATTAGGATTATATCCGAAACCATTGCTAATAGTGAAGATACACAAATGATGAATTAATATAATCAAATCATTATAAGTTTTTGTTTTATGACTTTCCATACTCTTAAGATCAGTATATTAAAGAAACTGTATTCATTACTGAATTAGTTTCTAGTTCTGAACTATGTAGGTAGCTTGCTTTGATGAAAAGTTACTTTTAAAAAACTTCTGAGTGATACTTAAATTTATCTTATTCTTATATTTAGTTTTGTCTTCTTATCACAAGTTTGATTCTTTAATATAAAATACCTAACTCTCTTTAACACCACAACCTACCAATTTTCCACAATTCACAAGTTTAAACAAGGATGTTCCTCTTTCTAAAGTCAGCTGGTAAAGTGAAATGTGATCATCACAGATCTCCAGCAACTAAATTACACAAAAACAAATCTTTAATTAAACTACACAAAAAAAAACCTTTAAATAAATTACACAAAAACAAACCTTTAATTAAACTACACAAAAACAAACTTTTAAATAAATTACACAAAAAAACCTTTAACTAAACTATACAAAAACAAACCTTTAACTAAATTACACAAAAACAAACCTTTAACTAAATTACACAAAATAAACCTTTAATTAAATTACACAAAATAAACCTTTAACTAAATTATACAAAAACAAACCTTTAACTGAATTACACAAAAACAAACCTTTAACTAAATTACACAAAAACAAACCTTTAACTAAATTATACAAATTTTAACTAAATTACACAAACTTTAACTAAACTACACAAACTTTAACTAAACTACACAAAAACAAACCTTTAACTAAATTACACAAACTTTAACTAAACTACGGTGTAATTTAGTTAAAGGTTTGTTTCTGTGTAATTTATTTAAAGGTTTATTTTGTGTAATTTAGTTAAAGGTTTGTTTTTGTGTAATTACACAAAATAAACCTTTAACTAAATTACACAAAAACAAACCTTTAACTAAATTACACAAAAACAAACCTTTAACTAAATTATACAAATTTTAACTAAATTACACAAACTTTAACTAAACTACACAAACTTTAACTAAACTACACAAAAACAAACCTTTAACTAAATTACACAAACTTTAACTAAACTACACAAACTTTAACTAAACTACACAAAAACAAACCTTTAACTAAATTACACAAACTTTAACTAAACTACACAAAAACAAACCTTTAACTAAATTACACAAAAACAAACCTTTAACTAAATTACACAAAA